TATTATTATTATTATTATTATTATTATTATTATTATTATTATTATTGAAATGGTATTTTGGCAAACAAGGAGGGACTCTTGTTATTTATATTATAGTACAATACAATATGTAAATATTTTTGATCAAAACATAGCATATTAGTAATGTATAGAACTCAGACTTACAGCAGCTTATCTGGTCTAATGGGAGAAATTTGAAATGATTGTTATAATAACAACAAGTAAATTGGAGAGTAATTGTTATAACTAGTGTCGTGGGTGCAATATATATACAAGAACAAAAAAAAAAGATGATTTCCACCCCGATCCATAAAGGAGGAGACCAAACAGAGTTGAATAACTATAGGCCAATATCCAATTTACACCCTCTCTCAAAAATCTTCGAAAAATTAATTCATAAACGAATCTACTCCTACCTCATCTCCCAAAACATTCTCAACCCCTGCCAATTTGGATTCAGGCCTAATAAAAATACTAATGATGCTATTATACACATGCTAGAACATATATACACTGCAATAGAGAAAAAAGAAGTCCCACTGGGGATCTTCATTGACTTACGTAAAGCTTTTGATACAGTTGACCATGACTTGCTCCACGTAAAATTGTCACACTATGGTATTAGAGGGCACTCCCTCAACTACCTCAAGTCTTACCTCAGCAACAGAAGCCAATATGTGTACGCAAATGGGGCAAGCTCTTCCGCTCAACCAATTACAGTTGGTGTCCCACAGGGAAGTGTCCTTGGCCCTCTTCTCTTTCTCCTATACATAAATGACCTACCAAATGCTTCGCAATTACTCAAACCCACACTTTTTGCAGATGACACTACAAACGTCTTCTCTCGCCCGAGCCCAGTCATGCTAGCCAATACTGTAAATATCGAATTACAGAAAATATCTACCTGGATGAGAACTAACAAACTTACACTAAACATTGACAAAACCTACTTCATTCAGTTTGGTAGCAGAGCTACAGATGTACCTCTTACCATAACGATAAACAGATCACCTATCACAAAGCTAACAGAGGGAAAATTCTTAGGAATCCACCTCGATAATAGACTCAAATTTCATACACATATACAACAAATTTCTAAGAAAATTTCCAAGACTGTAGGCATACTATCGAAGATACGGTACTATGTTCCACAGTCAGCCCTCCTGGCCCTTGATCACTCTCTTATTTACCCCTATATCACCTATGGAATTTGTGCATGGGGCTCAACAACAACTAACCATCTCAGACCACTAATTACCCAACAAAAGGCTGCAGTAGAATGATAACAAATTCTCACTACAGGCAACACACTCCACCCAAAATTCAAAACACTCAACCTACTCACCATACAAAACATCCATACTTATTACTGCACCTATTACATACATAGAACACTTAACTCTGATATTAACCCTCCCCTCAAACATCTCCTTGCCAACCTCAACAGAACACATGACCATAACACAAGGCACAGATCACTCTTTGATGTTCCTCGTGTCCATCTCACGCTATGCAAAAACTCAATGCACATAAAAGGCCCTAAAATCTGGAATTCATTACCTGTAAATATAAAAGAAACACTACCTGTTTATAAATTCAAGTCTCTTCTCAAAGATCATTTACTCACCCAAAACCAAATAAATACTGAATAACTGAACCTTATTAAACCTAGGACCCAATCTAACTTTATTATTTTTTTAAATACACTACCTAACAGAATACTACATTCTACTGAATGTACAGCAATGCAAGCAACCATATGACCTGTCTTTGTAATACTCATTTGTGCTTTATAGTTATCTGTTTACAATAATGTTTTATTACTGATTTCATCATTGCTTAGTTAATCTTAAGTTAATTTTAAGCCAGCCCGTAATGCTATGCATATAAGTGGCTTTGGCATGCTGCTCTTACCTGTATTTTTTGTACCTCTGTATGTATGCTAAAATTACTAAATAAATAAATAAATAAATTTATCCAGTAAATTTTTACTTGTGTGGGTATAATTGCAATGTGAAACTGAATTGATATAAGAATAATTATATATTGAGGCAGTACCAACTGTACATTGATTATAGAAGTACAGTACAGTAGATGTCATTCAAATTATCATCAGGAGGGTTAGTAACCTGAGATAATTAAAAAATGCTAGGTTTATACTGTACAATACTGTACTGTAATGTTGTATATATGTATAGTATACTGTATGTATTTTATTGCTTTTAATAATAATTTTCTTATCTTTGGATTTTGTGGATTAATGTTATTGATGTTTTTTAAACTTATACTACACTTTTCCATATATTGTGATTATTTTGTAAATGCAATTGAAAAAGCATTTCCAACATATTTCCAACATATTCACAACAGATATGTAACACATATTAATACACACAGGTACGTCAAAGTTTATCTCCTCCCTGATAAGTCTAAGAGTGGCAAGAGGAAAACCAAAGTCAAGAAGCACACACTCAACCCTGTCTTCGAGGAGGTGCTGAGGGTAGGTTAAAATATTTCTCAGTCTGTGGTGTACATGTGTCATTGTTGCTATGTTCCTGTGAACATGCTGCATCAGTAAGGGTCATGCTGTGCCTCGGGGATAGTCAAGTTTGGTCTGAGGAAGGGGAGGGGTACCTCCAGTTACCTTTTTCAAGAGTCTTTCATTGGCATAAAGTATAGAAGAGATAGGGCTATCAAACCCAGGATAACTTAACAAAGTTAAGTAGGAAAGTACATTCCTGTTGGTGTGCTGTCCTAGGACGACATCCACAACTGTTAACTAATTATGCTATGTATTGCACCTATTTACCCCTCAAAGGTTACTTGATGCTGGTGAGGGGCTCTTGATCTAGGGAATTGGATCTGTGCTCCAGTTCCCTGAATTAAGCCTGAATACCTTCTACATCCCCCCACAGGCGCTGCATAATCCTACAGGTTTAGTGCTCCCCCTTGATTATAATAATAATAATAATGCACCTATTTACTGCTAGGTGAATGAACTGCAGGTGTAAGGATACCTGCCTGTATGTCTCTCTTCACTTGGAAATCAAGCTTAGGTATTTTTAGTTGAGAATTGACCATTACTAATGGGCTACAGGATACCTATTATTATTATTATTATTATTATTATTATTATTATTATTATTAATATTATTATTATTATTATAATTATTATTATTATACAGTACATATATTTAGTCATGCCAAGTCTTTCACACTGAGTGATAGGTTCACATAAATTACTGTGCTCTCCCACTACAAGATTCACATTATAATAGCCTTCCTTAAGTATACTGAATAAATTATTTTTGTTTTGTCTCTTAGCAACAAAGTAGAAAAGAGCAGTTGATTTTGAGTCAGCAACTCATTGTAGCTGACTTGGTATGACTGTACCTGTGTAGGATGTACTTAAATTCATTCATTAGGGATTTGCCGGTACTTTTGGCCCGGGTCTTCTCCAGTTGGTGATCCGGCGTGTACTTAAATGATAACACTGAGATACCTATGTACTACATGATATGTACATTTAATGGTAAAAGTCTCAGTATATACTGAAACTGAAGTCTCAGTATATACTGAGACTTGCCCCTCCCTTTTTTTTTTTTTTTTCTTGTTAGCCATCTTTTTACCAACAAATTGTTTTGCAGAAAATTGCAGTAGTTAAAAGGCTGCCCAAAATGCTTTGAATAACTAAGGGCTTTCTATAATAATGTGAACCATTCCCGAGTTGACTGTAAATTGCACTTTGTAGAAATAAAGTTTTATCATTGTGAAATATGTGGAACAACATCTCATGTATCTTGTACAAAACTTAATTCAGCCACGAGAAATGACCTAAAACAAGAAAGAGGTTTCTGGATTTGCCCCAGTGAGTTGGAAAGCTGACCAGGCATAAGGGAAGTACCGAAAAGTGAAAACCTAGAAAGTGTAAGAAAGTTTCTGAGGAGCTTGCCAGATATATATAGTGGAGAAAAAGGGTAGGGAACAAGGAGAGGAGGTAAAATAAAGGAGCTGAAATAAGGGTGGAGACCATCATTCAGAGGAAGCAGGAAAAGACTAAAAAATGGGTATATAACATAGAGAAAAAGGAAAGGAAGAGAAATCTATAGGAGGAACACGTGAAACAAAAACCCGCAAGAAATATGCTTAGATGAAACTAAACGAGAATTCAAATCACCTGGCAGAACTTTCTGCAGATATTATGCAAAAAGGATTTGCTTATATGGGAGAGCATAATGGCATAAATACAACAGAAATTGTGTGAACATATTGAGAAAGGGAAAGTGTCACTTTGACAGAGACTGCAGGTACTTCCATCCAGTGATGTACAAAGCTTCAACACACTTCAGATAATATGGCCTAAGCTGTCCAGACTACCATGTAAAAGGAATTCGGCACTGCAGAGAAATGAAAAATGAACAGCAGTTTCTTTTTAGAAATAAAGAGAAACGATTGGACCAAAGAAAGAGGCAAACATGAAAAAAAATGCTACAGAGGGGTACAACACTGGGACATACCAAGCCAGGCATCAGCCCATCAGGGTCAAATAGACAGCCAAATGCACAATCAGCACTGGAGAAACCAGGGTTATGTGCATCAGGGGCCATACCAGGTAGTACATTACAACAAATCAAAACTATCGAAATGGTAAATCCTGCTTCCTTTTTGCAAACATTCAAGGTATGAAATAAAATAAAATGACAAAGTTACATAAGTGGGCTCCTCTCAGAAGTAAATACCATGTTTGGAGCACAAACAGGATGTTTTGGATGGAGAGCTAAAGATAGAAAACTATAACATGTACTGACATGATAGAATTACATAATAGGCCACAGGGAAAAGTAGGACTCTATGTGAAAGATACTCTCTGTTGCACAGAATTGCTGAATTCTACGAATTATACAGTAAAAATTCTAGGCATTAAAGCTGGAAATAAGAATGTGGCAATTATCCTAGTATATAAATCACCATCAGCATCTGCAGAGGAATTCACAGATCAGTTAAGGAAGATAGATAGCTGTCTGGATAAGCTAGAGAATCCCACACCAATTTTAATCTCCCGCTTATAAAATGGAAGATGGCTCAACACAACGTCATACCAGAAATATCACCTGGAAGCACCCTGGCTCAACAGGCACATACCAGGGAACTAATGAGACTTTGTGAAAAGTACTCACTGAACCAACAGATAACTAATCCCACTAGAAATGAAAATACCCTGGATTTGATATTCACATCATAGAAGTACGTACAAGCGAGTATAAAATCAAGGTTAAGGAACTGCAACACTGTTGTAAAAGAAGGGATGTACATAAGTTTAATTACAACAACCATAAAATTTATTAGGAACAAATAAGCCAAAAACTATCAGACTTGTACAGTGGACCCCCGCATAACGATTACCTCCGAATGCGACCAATTATGTAAGTGCGTTTGTACGTGTATGTTTGGGGGTCTGAAATGGACTAATCTACTTCACAATATTCCTTATGGGAATAAATTCGGTCAGTACTGACACCTGAACATACTTATGGAGTGAAAAAATATCGTTAACTGGGGGTCCACTGTACTTTTAGAAATAAAGATATTATTATATTATTATTATTAATCAGACAAGAACACCCTAAATCCCCACCAGTGCCTGGAAAAGCTGAATATAGAAGCATACAAGGTCTGTATTAAACATGTACCACTGAGGATGTGGAAATTTATTGAGCTCGAGAAATCCCACATGATCACTGTAACAAGCATTAGAGGCCATTAGAATCCACACCGACAAAAATATGCAGTGGAAGTCATGAGTCAGTACATAATTATTGATATGTTTACACTAATTTGATAGAGTACAGGTTTTAACCCTTAAACTGTCCAAACATGGATCTATGTTTTTTTCAACATTTGAAAGTATGAAAAAAGTAGATCTTTTTTTTTTACATTTGAAAACGTGTAAAAAAACTTTGATCTACTTTTTTTTTTTTTGTTATATTTGAAAATATGTAAAAAAAAAAATGTACATCTACTTTTCGAGCACTACGCACGTGAACGTAGATCTGCTTGGACAGTTTAAGGGTTAAGTAGAATTAAGAGCTAATAATATAATTAGTTTTTAATTCTTAATAGAATATGTAGTTTTAGGCTTAATATTTTTACATTAGATAGAAATGAGTAGGGAAAATTAGACACGTAGAAACACCTAGCAGTTCTCCAATGAACTAGTGAGGAAGATGGACGTTGGTAGCCATCTTTTGGACAAGGACTGTGCTGAGAGCACCTCCTTATCAGTTTCTATCTCTTGAGTCCCACACGGTTTAATAACGTTACCTGGCAGTTAACAACATAATTCAGAGGATTTACAACAAATCGTGGATACAAGTCTCTGCGCCAGATCCGTTGGTGGCAATTTATTACTGTATTTAACCCCCTAGTCACGTGGCCACAATACAGGGTGAGGGAAATTCAGGAATAGATAGTTAACTTACGGTTAATAAGTGTGCCCATGACCAACAATCAGGTAATTTTTAATTTATATTTACTACAGAAGATCACATATTGAGAGAGAGCATTGATGGTACAGAAGAAGAATATGGGTTACCGAATTGATTAAAAGCATAAATATGCTGCAACAGAGGAAAGATAGTCTTAGCCAAGATATCACTGAATTAGAGCAAAAAGCTTTGGATGTCATACCAAACAGAAGTACAAAAAATAAAATAAAATAAAATTTTATTTCTTTGCTGAGGTTACAATTCGTGTTTACATTTCATAATTTGATTAGCACAAAGAAAGCCACTATCATGCTCAGGCATTTCAGGAAGGCTTAACCTAATACAGTGGTCCCTCAATAACCATCCGGCCTGAAAGTTGTCCATTTCAGAAATAGTCCCGTTATTTCGTCTAAACATTGGCTCACAAATGGTCCGTTAACTCGATAATCGTCTTTCGTCCTGGACACGTACTCACGGCTCTGAGCCACCTCAGCCTCCCTTCCCAGCCGGTGTGCCATTGTTTACCAGTGAGCGACGGTCCCCTCACGTGTTCATACGAAATATTTCATAATATTCCATTGAGTCTAGTGCTTGCAAGTGCTAAATAAGCTACCATGGCTCCAAAGAAAGCTCCTAGTGCCAAGCCTTTGGTAAAGGTGGTGAGAAATACGATTGAATTTAAGAAAAACATCATTGAACAATGTGAAAGTGGCATACGTGTGGGCGAACTGGCCAGGATGTATAACAAATCCCGTACAACCATATCTTCCATCATAGCCAAACAAAAGGAAATCAAGGATGGGGGTAAATATGCTGACAAAAATGAGATCACCAGTACTCGAAGATGTTGAGAAGTTATTATTGGTGTGTATATACGAGAAACAATTAGCAGGGGATAGTCTTATGATGTCACTTATTTGTGAAAAGGCTAGGCAGTTGCATGACGATTTGGTAAAGAAATTGCCTGCAACTAGTGGTGATGTGAGTGAATTTAAGGCCAGCAGAGGCTGGTTTA